TGGTTTAAAGACTTTCCTTATGTAATCCCTCCTGTTGTATTACTTTCTACCTGATTTGGGTCTTCCCAATCGGTGCTGCTGTCCACTGCTTTGGTGTCCCTTATTAGTGTCCCAGAGTGCAAATGTGGTTTTGCGTTCATGCCACTCCTTCTGCCCAACCCACCCCACCATGGCTGCCAGTGCGCATGCTCCTCTGCCCTCAATGTTCTTGTTTGATGCCCTACCTGGAAGCAGAGAACAAGGGAGGTTTGTTAGGAGTTAACAATGTCTCTAACTCCATTTCTTGTTTTTCTGCACATGTATGGCATGACCAGGTCACATAGAAAACAATTTTCTGTCCTTTTCACACTATATACATGTGCAGAGAAATGGCTCAACTGACATGTCCACAAGCCCTAAATGTTTGTCCATAGTAGGGCATACATGCACTGCCTGCTAACAGTGCATTAAAGAACTCCAGGCAGAGCACTGCAAGGGTTAAGTGAGTTTTTTTTGTCTGGGACAAACATAAAAATGGCTGGCTACTAGACTGGTCCCTGCATCCTGTCTCCTCCACTTCAGCAATGGAATATCCCTCAGTGTCCTCGCATCCCATGGGTTGGCGGGACTATCGCCTTCTGGCACACTTTACAAAAAATGAAACAATTGGCTGAAGTTGCATTCAGAAACTTACAAGGAGGACCTGATTGCTAGGAGGATGACCATTCATAGGTTAGGAGGCAGAATGGAGCCGACAACATTCAGCTGCACCACTTGGCCATATAGCTTGCCAGATGGCTGATCATTGAACACTTTGTCCAGTAGGTTCACATGCTTTTCAGTGATTGGCACCTTTTTAATGGTGTATCGTTGTGTTTTTTTTTTTCCCAGTAAAACTTCTTGCTCTTATAGAAACTTAAAGCAACTTAAAGCCTAATTCCAGCACTGAGGGTCTGTTCACACGACGTCCGTTTTCTGTGCTGACTTGATCCGTACACTCCTGCACTAAAAATGTATCCCTATGTGTTTTATTGGCTACAGTTCTCACGTGCGCAGTCCGTTCAGGTTACGTGTCACATTTTGTATGGTCAGGAAACGCATCAAAAACGCACTGCAGCTAACATACTGACAGCCCGACTCCAGCAAAAAAAAGAAATTATATATATTTTTTAACGAACGCATCAAAAACGCACTGCATCAGTAGCACCGCGTCTGCAGATCCGCACCTGATATCATGTGAACAGGCCCTTAGTCTTTGACAGGTTTAATAATGAGTTATTTCTGCAACCCCATTCGGGAGATTTCCCCTTGCTACTTCAGATATCACAAGGTCAAGGAGTAAGGTGTGAGGTTCTAGCCTCAAAAAATAAATCTTTGGACATTTTTTTAATGTCCAAAGGAGAAGACGACGACTTAGCCTTTATCCCTAAACCGTGCTGCCAAAATGAGGTTTGCTGGGCATGAAGTAATGGGCCCTTAATAGAATATACATTACAGAGTAGGGATTTTTCTTCCCTCTAACATAATTGTTTTCCTTCCTACTGTCTTTTTTTTTAGTCACCATGGCAAGTGTACGAGAGAACCTATTTTCCAGCGTTGCAAAAGAGAAGACAAGTGCTCCCAAAAACAAGATTACAATTGTTGGAGTTGGCCAAGTTGGCATGGCCTGTGCAGTCAGCGTCCTTCTGAAGGTATGTGACAAATATAGCTCTGCTATTGTTGAGCATGTGACTGTGTCCTACTGAGAGGTGACCTTCATCTATTTCATATCTAAATGCGTAACTCTTTAACTGCTGCTGAAGAATGGCTTGGCTGCTGGAGAGTTTATACTGAGGGTTTGTATGTTTTGCAGACTAGTGCCTATAATAAAAAATGGACTAAAACCTGTCCCACACTGGGCCATTTTATTTTTATTGAGGGACTTCTATATACTAGAAGATGCTTGTGACCTAAAATTTTCTACTACAGTGTTTACCTGAAAATAAGACACTGTCTTATATTTTCTTGGGCTCAAAAACACACACTAGGTCTTATTTTCAGGGTAGGTCTTATTTTTTAAATGCACAACAATCCAAAGTTAATGCACATGCATATCCAAATTAAATGATCCAAAATGGCAAAATTAAGAATAGGGCAATCAGGGGTGCCTTACCTTTCCAAGAGCAATTTGTTAACCAATCGCTGCCCAGAATGAGCAAAGCGCACTTTCACTATCGATTCCTCAGTCTTAAGTGCATTTGGCATCACTCCGCCTGTGACAGGAGTCGGCGCTATAGAGTAAGCATCGGCTTATGCGGCTCTGCTCCCTCCGCTGCCGCCTTGCTTCATTGACACTGCAGATTCTCTCCCGCCTCTCCTGTGGCACTTCAAGTTCCCCCTTATGCCACCACCTGGCCTAGAAATGGGTCACAACTAGGTCTTAATTTCAGGGTAGGTCTTATTTTCGGGGAAACGTAGTAGGGTTGCAATTAGGCTAACATTATGCATCCTCCATTTAATCTAGGATGGTAGATTTGCCTTGCTGAGCCCCCTGTGTAGGACTGTTTTGCCTTGGACCCTATTGCCATACAATTTAGATCACCAAAACATCTTGCCATAACATTTTGTGCACACAAACATGAAAAAGTGGGGTTCCATCTGTTTGCATCGGTCCTCTTAATCAAGAGCCCCCTCACATCAAAAACCCCCCCTTATACCATAACAAAATGTTGGAAGCCAGAAGGCACCCCAGTGTGCCATGGCACCCTGGCTGAGAGGCTGCCTTAGACATCCAAAGACCTGAGAACACTGAGTATTGACGTGTTGGATGTGATGGCAGACTCAGAGCTGTAATTCTATGCTATTCACCAGCTATTACAGAAGTTAATGTAGAGGACACTTGCTGTTTGGTATAGTGGCAACACTGCTCTCCTCTTCCAATTGTACTCCTGCATTGTTGCTTTCCCAATGGAGACTTGAGTGGTCATGCAGATAAATTGCACAAGCATGGTCTTCCATAGTTGCTATGGCTAAGTGTGGAACAGTTAGGATCTGCTAGGTTTATTACTGTCTGAAGATTTCCATAATGGCAGATCTGCAGTAAAACTTGTATAGGTTCTATCCCTTCCACAAAATGCCCAAATAACATTTGGCTGGTGCTCTGTTGGAAAATGTAGTGACGTTCCCATGATCTGACATCACTCCATACATTTCGTCTTTGGCTAATGTGAGACTGGTAGATTAAACTGAATTTATTATTAGGAACTGCCTGATGTGCTTGCCCTGGTCGATATCTTGGAAGATAAACTGGAGGGGGAAAAGCTGGACTTGCAACATGGAAGCCTGTTTCTTAAAACTCCAACCATTGTAGCAGGCAAAGGTAGGTTCTGTTTTCACTAGCTGAACTTTCTTCTACAGGTTTGTAGATGTTTTCTTAATAGATTAACATTCATGGAAAATGGTTTCCCTGGAGTTTCAAAAGTTCTCAAACATAAGTCCAAAATGTTGATGCTGCCATTAATCCATTGGGCTTGTAATGTCCTATACACACTGCTTCTGTTGTACAAAAATCCCAAGCATTATCGGCCCTGCCCAGGTCAACCTGTCAACATAGGGGGAGGTATGATGTAAACTACACAGGGAGGTGTTCTGTAGTTAAGAGCAATTGCCTACAGTCGCAATGCTGCTCCTCTATTGACTCAGTACAGTGAATGTTACCCTGCAACAGGAAGTGCTACTGGCAGGATCACCAGGTGAAAATAAAGGGGGAAGCCTGAAAATCTCATGCAGCCACTAAATATAAGGACTGGTCGGCTGAATTCTAGTTTCCCCCTCTGGGTATAGAAGCACTTTAAATTGGTCATTGCAGGCACTGTTGGTGTTTGGATCATGCAATTGAGTGCGTTGACTCTAATGGCCTTCTCAGACATTGTTAGAAACTTGGGCTTCTCTGCACTGTCGGTCTTGACATGTCAAGTTCTGTAGTTGTCCCTCCTATTGATCTTGTATAGGTGTAATCTGACATTTGGTACCAATTCTGCAGGATTCCAGAATGTGGTTCAGCACAAATGGCTCATGCTCAATTGCTATCGGACTATGTAAAATAGTTGGTCACCTGTGGTCCAGTGACTTCAGTGTGCTAAGGCGATACATTTTTTTTTTTCAGTGCAAGATTGCTTGACTAAATAGCAGAAGCTAAGGAGTGAACTGTTTTATGTGTAGAGTACAGTTGGCCTCACTATTTGTTTATCTACAGACTACTCCGTAACAGCTGACTCTAAACTCGTTGTGGTCACTGGTGGGGTCCGTCAACAGGAGGGAGAGAGCCGGCTGAACCTCGTACAGAGAAACGTAAACGTCTTCAAGTTTATTATCCCTCAGGTGGTGAAGTACAGCCCTGATGCTACTATCCTTGTGGTTTCCAATCCAGGTAAAGAATGTCCTAATTACTGTTGTGGTGTGGTTTTTTTGTTTTTTTTGGCAAATGTTTAGTGGTAGGTTTACAAGCTGCAGCAATTGTTGTATAGCTACATGACTTGCATATTCTTATTTGCAAGTAGAGGTGCAAATCGCACCCTGTACTACAACTAGGCAGCAAAGCCAATGAGGGATTGTGTCCTGGTCTTGTCATGTGATTTGATGCATGTTAAGGGTGAAAATTCTTGCTTGGTGGAGTTCCTGGCAAAAGGTGCGGCACATCTAGCAACCAACCAGTCAGATCTTTTCTAATGCTGGGCACACGTTACAACCATCGCAAGACTTTTGTCTTGCGATGGTTGTAAGGTACTTAAAAAAAAAAAAAAATAAAAAAAGTACGATCTGCCTTTCCTGGACAGGCAGATCGTACTTGCGATCGCAAGCCGTGCCCCCTGAGGGGCAGGCTTCCGATGACCGCAATGCTGAACGGGCGGCCCGTCTAGCTTTTATCGTATGAACATGCTACACACCCGTCAAATCGTACGATGCTCGGCGGGTTTTCGAACATGTTCAGAAGTTAAAAGACATGCGCCCTTACAGTAGTAGAGTCTCACGGCTTCCACACACCTTACGATCGTGGGATTTCCCGCAATTATCGCAAGGTGTGTGGGGACCTTTACCTGTGATTGAAACAGTTGAATGATTGTTATAGGCAACTCTAACCAGTGTTCTGTTTTTCTTGACTGTAGTTGATATCATGACATATGTGACATGGAAAATAAGTGGCTTGCCACAGCACAAAGTCATTGGAAGTGGCACTAACTTGGATTCAGCAAGATTCCGCTACATAATCTCTCAGAAACTTGGTATCAGCACTTCAAGCTGCCATGGCTACGTCTTGGGTGAACATGGGGACTCTAGTGGTAAGTGACCAATTGCAGGTGTACCCTGCTTAAAATGTTTTTTTTTGCCCCAGAGTACTGTATGACCCTTCAGCTTTACAGGCCAAGCTGCTGTTGGAAACCAGTGTTAATGGTCTGGAAGTGGGGGTTGGAAGGGCGAGGGAGGTAGTCCTCTGAATTTGACATATAGGAACAGATGAGGGTGGTGTGTAAAAACTTAAGAGATGTGAAATGTACACAAACCTTGTATTCAATTTAACATGTGTAATTTTAACAGTGCCCGTTTGGAGTGGAGTGAATGTTGCTGGAGTCACCCTTCAATCACTCAATCCTGAAATTGGAACTGACAAGGATCCAGAGAACTGGAAACAGGTCCACAAAGATGTGGTTGCCAGGTAAAATCTTTCTCTGATCTGCACTGGAAAAAAATTTGCATCTTAAGAGTAGGGAAGGGCTTGAACCTTTGTTGGGTTTGTGTGGGGTTTGCTGTTGAGAAATCGCAGAGTACTTCTGGTATGAGTGTAGCTAGTCCTACAGCTCATAGCTGTATATCTGTAGTGATTGGATCAAAGGCACTGCTGCCTGCAATAGCTGGTCCTAAGGAGATGTAAGACAAGTAATACTTATTCTCCAGCAAGCAACACTATAGTATATCTGTATATCTAATCTGCTCTGTGCTTTGTGAACCTATGCCTTTTTGAATATTCCCTCCCTAGTCATGTGGGTGGGGGTGCAGTAGCACTGATGGAAGCAAAATGCTGTTGCTCTACAAACATGACTCCCCTTCCCAGAGTGCATAGCAAGTTGGCAATGCCAGGGGAGGGAGGTCTGCTGACCAAAATTCAGGTGCTCATAATTCTTTTATACAAATTGCAATATAAATGTGTACCTGACAGAATTTGGTTCTTATGAGGTAATTCTACATATACCTACTGATGCACATGGGTAATATCAGTATGTGTAACGCCTCAATGAGATGAATGCTAGTCCATTCAATGTAAGAAAATCGGTTGCTGTTGGCCCTGATTAAAGTGCCTGAATGTAAGGTATGGTAAAGTGCCCTCAAGCAGTATATAGTGCAATATTGCCTTGGGCCACGCTGGCATGACTCAGTGGTACCACACTTGTGAAGCGGTACTATCTAAGCCCTGGTTCACACCTAGGCATATTGCATATGCGCGTCTGTCGTGCGTTTTTATCGCGGTAAAAAAATTGTGCGACAAACGCGCGTTTCTGAGGGCTACTTGGCTGTATCCCAATGGAAAAGCGCAACAAAAACGGCCCAAAGTAGTACATGTACCTTTTCAGGCGTGGGCCGTTTTGTAGCACGTTAGGGACGGGCTGAAATACGCCAAGGTGTGAACCAGACCCATTGAATACAATGGGATTTTAATGTGGGCGTTTTGTAGAGCGGTCGTCAAGTGCAGAACGTGCTACAAAATGTTCAGATGTGAACGAGGGTTAAGATGTAGCCTCTGGTTGTCTCCTCCGGTGCCTAGCTAAATGTCACAGCCATTCTAACTACACCTCTGGCCAATAAATTGCTGCAGGTGCTTCAAATGTTTTCATACATGAGATGGAACTTACTGTTTGAACTTTAAATGGATCGGAAGAACCTGTCTATTACATGGTGGGTTTTGGCTTTGTCATGCACTTGCATCCTCTTGAGGTTTTATTCTGTCATTTTGTAGTGCTTATGATGTGATCAGACTAAAAGGATACACCAACTGGGCTATCGGCATGAGTGTGGCTGACCTGGCAGAGTCAATACTGAAAAACCTGAACAGAGTCCATCCTGTATCAACCATGGTAAAGGTAAGCAAAATGTATAGGTGATGTAGAAGAATCTTTAAGTGATAACAGTTGAAAATTGGCACAAAGAATCCAGCCTTGGTTGTGGGAAAATATGAAAAATTGGCTTTTCTCAAATGCACACATCACTCCTTGGTGGAGTGGGAGAATTTGGCTCACGAACTTGCTGCCATACTAGTGGGTAGAGGACCTATTTCTTGCGTTGTAGTATGAAAATGACTATCTTGGTAGCTTTTTGACAAATTACTTCACTGACTGCTGCAGGCTGGAAAACCAAGGGTCCTAACTAGATATGCATGACTCTTATTCACGCATTGGGATATGTGCTATTAGCATTTCCTATGTGCATATCACACAAAGCTGTGGCTAAGGCTATTTGTTAAAGGACTATAAACCTTTAAATCTGCAGCCTCACCAGTATGCATGGGGTATTGTGCACATGCTCAGTTGAAGTACCAGTCAGCATAGGACACTTACTATATTGGGGCCATGTGAGCTTCATAAATGCAGCAGGACCTACATTTTGAATGAGCTACAGCCAATTGCTTTTAAGGCCCCCTAACATTGCTTGCTGCAATGCACAAAATGCATGCATTTCCGTGCACAGCACATATGTGAATGGGATGCATTGAAGCATGTTGTAAACCGATTGCACGGTGTGCAGTGGAACATGCAGTCATGCAATCAAATATTTTGTAGTTTATCCCCACTTCTTTAATTGGCTTTGTGCTGTATAGTTTGTTTTAAAGCCTTTTATCAGCCATTCAAGTACTGTAACAGCGGTGATGTCAACTGTCTATTACAACACCTGGATTTGCCTGCTGTCGGTTCACTGAAGGTGGATTCTGATTTTGTTCAGGCTTTCCACACATGTATGGTGTATGGCTTTGCTTCCTTGCGTAACCTAGTCCATGACCTAAGTTAAAATACTAGTTTTCCTCTCTTCCAGGGATTATATGGCATGGAGGATGAAGTCTTCCTGAGTCTTCCATGTGTCCTGAACTCTCAAGGCCTTGTGGAAGTTGTGAAGCAGAAATTGACGGAGGATGAAAAAGCTCAACTGCAGAAGAGTGCAGCGACCCTGTGGGGCATCCAGAAAGATCTTAAAGACCTCTGAAGTCCTAAATCAGTCATTACAGTCTGCACCCACCTTGCCTTTCTAAAATTATTTAGGTTCTTGTACACAGGTTTATAGAGTAATATAGTTGTCAGAATAAAAATCTGATGTAACTGAACTGCTTGGTGTGCTGAAATCTTACTTCAAATCAGCAAAGCTCATTAAAGGGTCAACATGGCAATTTGTATTTATAGACTTAATCAGTCTTAATGGGAGACCTGTACTGAGATGTAAGCTGTCTTTGCTGAAAGACCCAGGTTTTATATTTGAGCTATTTTGAGTAACTGCTATGCATTTCAGTAATTCAGAAAACACTGTAAATGGTCATTCACAAAACGTCGAACAGTTGCATTTGGACTTCATGGTCAGGCATAAGCGCCTTGACATTTGTGAGGGCTCGTAATCCTGCATGATTCAAAAGCCTTGGCGACTTTTGATTTTTGATGTCTGCTATGAATCACCAGATCAGACTTGCATAAATGTAATGCAATACATAAGCCCCTTACCAGTTTATACTTGTCAGGATGAGCTCCAGTGTGGCATTGCACCCATCCCATTAAACTGCACTAAAGTTAAGCGGCTGTAGACTGCATATAAAGCTTTCGTTATATAAAAGCTTTCTTTAAGGAACTTTGATCCATGTGCTTGAAGACCCAGCCTGTCTGGATCCTTCCTCTGATGCACATGGATGGAGTAAGTTTACGCAATCCTTCGCTTGTACAAATTACCACATAATGCTAATTGAAAGAAGCCTGTCCAGTCACACTGGCAGAGGGAGTTGGGCACAAGTGCCTCCTGTGAGGTGTCCTTTTGAGGACTCAACTCAGTCGTCAGTGCTGCGCAGTCTCGCTCTATCTGGAAGAGACTTGAGTATAAGGGAGATGTGCTGGCTCCACAGTGATCTGAGGCACTGTTGCAATAGTGACTGCACTCTGGCACCGTCTATTAGAGTCCAGCTTTAGGATTCACATGAATATGAGCAATGCTGTGTATACAAAATCTGTGTGCTGCACTGTATGTTACCAGCAGTTGGCAAAAGGGGACCTGCACTTGTGGGTACAGATGGAGCAGACAACATTTGGCTAGAAGGACACAGCAATGTGTGGCACTAGGGTAACAAAGTGCATCAATCTACTAATTTACAAACATGAACTTGATTTATGAATGTGAAAGGAGCAGAGTTGGAAACCACCTTACATTAGCCATGCACAATTCCATTGTGCAGGGTATAGAGCTTCTGTTTCCACTCTTCTGAATCAATACCTGCAAAAAAGATTCTGTATACTTGCCTCTCCAGTAAGCAGTGAGTCTTGAGTATTTGACAATTCTAGCTGGAAGAACCAAGGTGCCCAGCAGGTATCGGGCATCTAATACACCCAGAAGTGTCAGAGCAGTGGCTCTTGGAGCTCATAATTTCAGTTGATGCCCATCAAAGTGGTAAGTATCGGTCTATTACAGGCAGGAGCATAACTACAGATCATGGGGGTTCTATACAAAAATGTTGCCTCCATGACTACCGCCATACTGTCATTAATCACGTAAAGTCTGCCTAGATTGGGGACAGGTAGCAGAGCTGTGTGAGAAGAGGGGAAATCTGTCCATGGTATTTTAACTAGGGATGCAATGATGTCAATACTAGTGTGCTTTCTCCTTCCTGATTGGCCAGAAAGCCAGCTCAATGCTGCTATCACCTGGTGACTGCTAATCAGGAAGCCAGGCGGCAAGACGTTACATGCTGCCAGTATTGAGAAACCAGTATCAATGCACCTGTACTTAACCTACATTTTCCCCGTTAACTACTGTCCATCTCAAATCCATGAGCTTCGGTGTAATACTATACCAATATTTTTTTTAGGGGGGGATTTTCTACAGCTTGGGAAGACTGTTTTGGCATACAGGGTTAATTTCAGTTCTTGCCAGGATAACCAAAAGCTCCTGAGGACCATAAATTTACAAGATGTGAACAAATCTCTTACTGCATGGCCTGCAAAAGGGATCTGTAATGAGTTATTCTGAAGTCTCCTTCTGTATGCATGGCCTCAGCCCTTGAATGGATATAGTACAGTGTCTACAACAACCTCTGCAATCCTTAATACAGTGTGTTATGTTTACATGCGCACTTTTTGGGGTGTACTTTTTTAAAGTAATGGTCACTGTAACAGACAAATGTTACAAAGGGTAACTGCTGGTGGTTTACACAAACTTTAACAAACTGTACAGATCTGTTATCCAACTGTACTAAGCATTAGGCTTCAGTAATGTTAAAACAGTCAACATTTCCCTTTCTTTGGTTTAAAAAAAAAAACCTTTGGTTTTTAGGTTGGATATGTAAAGTGCCATAGTTGCCACTTCCCTGGAGTAACATCACCATAGCAACCACCAGAGCAATCGGCAAGATCTCCTGCCGCTTTAGTTCAAAATATACTTTCAGACTTGTTAAAAAAAAAAACGGATCAAAAAGCAACAGGGATGTGCAATTTGTGCTCATGATTTGAGGATGATTTGGTTTTCGGTTGCTGTCCTTCATACATTATTGTTTGGCTTTGATCTTCTCTTAGCAGAAAATGCATGGATGATGCCACTCAGCTAACCTTTTAAAGCTGACCTTAACACCTTTCACTAAAAATCACATCTGCATACTGAAATGAAATAATTGTACTTTTGTTAAACTTTCTTTTACTCATAATTATTGTTTATCCACTTCTTGGGCATTAGTGATGTAATAAACATTGCATTCTGGGAAGGTTACATCGGCAGTGTATTGCTGGGCAATCATCTGTAATCTCATAAGATCTTAGGGAAAGCCATTTTCCTCCCCTGAGATGATGTGCATGGTGACATGTGCCAGAGTCCCAGGAAGTAAAGGGAGATCTAGTAATCTGCCCTTAGTAAAAATGGCCACTGAGAATGGGGAGGAAAAGGGAGGATTATTTTCAAGGGTGCCTGTTCACAGTTGAGCATTGTCACTTGTAGCTCCAAAACATACATGAGCATATGGAGGTTTGCTAAGGTTGCCAGAGATGTATCAACCGCTTTTCCATTAACATTGGCAACAAGTCCCTACTGGCAACCTTAAGCCAAGCCAAGACAGGTACAGGTAGAGCTATTTACAGATATACAGTGGTGTAGGGAGATATACAGAGGGAAGGAAGAAATATTTTCAGGGACATCCTGCTACTGCACTATAGATTAAGAGACTAGGCCTGTGTGTGTGTGGGGGGG